TTTATGCTTTTCAGAGCGTACAATTTATTTTAAACATATCTGCGTGACTTTTCCAGCTTGTATCCATGTCAATGATTACACATAAGAATCTAAATTATCCACTTCTTTAATTTTTGCTACATCTAATTTAAAATTATATTTTTGATGTTTAGAAATCTAAACCTTATTATATCCATAAAACTAGTTTTTTACGGGTTAATGCACGAAACTTTATTTATTTATTGACGTTTTCTACGTCTAGTTTTATTTAATGAGTGATGTGCGTGAAAACCTAAGAAACAAATAATTAAGAAAACAAGTAATTTAATAAATATTAAATTGGATATAATAAGGTTTAATAATATAGATTTTTAGCTTATTTGCATTAAGCCATTTAATTATCATGTCAATAGTATTATTAATGTCAGATGTATTTGCTTCGTTACGAACCCATACATCCGTTTTTCATGTTATTTGATGTTACAATTATTGATGTTTCGTCAGCATATAAAATACATTTATGTCGAGTTACCTGTGTTATGTCATTAATAAATAATAAAAATTAAATTAGTCCTAGTACACTCCCCTGTGGAACGCCACACCGAATTTCCCTAAAGCTAGATGAGAAGGATTTCACTTCATTTTGTGTTACTATGTTAAATACACTTTTTGGTACCGACCGCATAGATAAGATGCTAACCACGATAAGGTGGATCCTCGGATAGCGTAGGATTCTAGCTGTTTTAACAATATCGGGTGAGCGGCATAATCGAAAGCCTTTGACAAGTCGAAAAATATCCCCGTTGTCAACTAGTTTTTATTTAAATTTGTCAATAGTGTTGACATTAGATCAAACATGGCCAACGATGTAGATTTTGTTTTTGGAAACAAAAAAAATCTAAACTTCTACTTTTTGATGGGACTTGGAAAAGAACGGTCGCTGTACAAAATGTAAGTGGAAAAAAAAATAGTAATCGTCAACCCTCCAGTAGCTTCTATTTAAGTGACTGACAATTTGGATTAAAAGTCATGGCCTTTTGTTAAAATTTTTTGCTGCCCTAGACGTTCGGCTTTACATAGAGGGCTCAGATATGGTGGGTGTACTTCACAAGGTGGTGAAATATTGCCCCCCTTATGTAAGGTCAGGGCCTGATTTACTCACAGGCTAATAAGGCTGGAGCCCAGGGCGCAAAAACCAAGGGGGCGGCTGGCAGGCGTGCAGCCGAGCTAAAACTTACTAAATATTTGGTAATTTTGGGTAAATAAGTGGGCTAAAATAAAATTCCTGCGTCATGTGATGTTGTACCTATTTATGGGTTTTAATATGTTTGTGCGGCGGATGCATATAAAAATAGTAAAAAGTGAAAAATATTCGGAGCAGTATAAAACCCATATGAAAAGGAAGAGAACACATTAAAAAAAAGGGAAAATAGAAATTACGGGCGGTTCAAGGTCGGGAAAAGTAGAGGTGAAGTGACCAATTTAAGGGGGGAAAATGGTTTATGGAGTTTTTTGGGGAAACTACAATAGCCATCGAAAAAAAGATATATGTTAAAATTACAGATAATCAAAAGATCTTTGACTTTTGTAAGTACCTAAAAATTCCACAATTACCTAACCATATCTGTGAGAAATCGACTTTTAGATTTTTTAATATTAACTCCCATAAAAATCCTTCTTTTTTCATGAAATCTAGTGAAAACTTAACTTCCTTTGTCCTAAACAAGCTCTTGTTTTGTCGATTTAAAATATTTATATTTTCGCCTTGAATAATGAATACTTTATCGAAGAAGTAGCCTTTTTTCTATCGAAAAATCTCCCGCCTAAAAAGTTGGTTTTTCAATAAGTTTGGTGCAATTTTTCTAATTTGACCTCTTCTTTCTGATGGCATACAAAAAATATACATAACTATTGAACATTTTCTCAGAAAGTACAAATGCGTCATCACGATTCTCAACCTTTTAAGGTGGGAAAATGGGTTAATCGCGATTTTCGGGAAAACTACAACTCTGCACTAGTCCGACGATCGAACAAACGAGAACAAAGGATTTTTTCCAAAGTAAAAATTTCTCAGAAAATTTTCTATAGGAGTTGTAGTTTTCGCGAAAATTACGGGCGGTTCAAGGTCGGGAAAAGTAGAGGTGAAGTGACCAATTTAAGGGGGGAAAATGGTTTATGGAGTTTTTTGGGGAAACTACAATAGCCATCGAAAAAAAGATATATGTTAAAATCACGGACGTGGTTAAAATTACAGGTAATCAAAAGATCTTTGACTTTTGTAAATACCTAAAAATTCCACAATTACCTAACCATATCTGTGAGAAATCGACTTTTAGATTTTTTAATATTAACTCCCATAAAAATCCTTCTTTTTTCATGTAATCTAGTGAAAACTTAACTTCCTATGTCCTAAACAAGCTCTTGTTTTGTCGATTTAAAATATTTATATTTTCGCCTTGAATTTGACCTCTTCTTTCTGATAGCATACAAAAAATATACATAACTATTGAACATTTTCTCAGAAAGTACAAATGCGTCATCACGATTCTCAACCTTTTAAGGTGGGAAAATGGGGTAATCGCGATTTTCGGGAAAACTACAACTCCTATAGAAAATTTTCTGAGAAATTTTTACTTTGGAAAAAATCCTTTGTTCTCGTTTGTTCGATCGTCGGACTAGTGCGGATTTATTGTTCTCATTTGTCCGTTTCGCATTTATTTTAATCGAAAAATAATAAACTATATATGTTTTAATAATAACTGTCTATTGCGGGACTATATATACCCTTGTCAATCTTGCCTCCTTCCTTCCTTCTTTTGGAAAAAGAAGAAGAATCCTTATTTTGAAAAAGGTACCAACAATGGACTGGGAGCGGTAAATGATGGACCGGGAGTAGTGTGTGATAAACCGGGAGTGATGAGTGATGGTCCGGGAGCGCTGAGTGATGAACTGAGAGCGGTCCGAGATGGACAGGGAGTGCTCACCGCTCATGTTTCATCACACACCGCTCCCAGTCCATCGCTCACCGCTTCCGGTCTATTATATACCGCTCCCGATCTATCATTCACGGCTCGGGAGCCGTGGACCGGGGTCCATCACTCACCGCTCCCGGTCCTTCACACACCGCTTCCGGTCCATCATTCACCACTCCCGGTACACTATTCACCGCTCCTGGTCCATTATTCACCGATATCGGTCCATCACTCCCGGTCCACCGCCATGACTCCCGGTCTTTAACTCACCGCTCCTAGTCCATCACACACCGCTCCCGGTTCATTGCCTCTGTTCCCGGTCCATCACTCACCACTCTCGATCCAACATAATAACCAGTATATAACGCAATTTTCCAATTGGCGATTTTGTTAATATTTATGCTGTGCGCGGCGCGGTGCGAGCGCCGCGTGTCACTGCCGGATTTAGGGGAGGGCAACGGGGGCGAAAGCCCCGGGGCCTCCACAAACGGGGGGCCCCCACAATAGAGACTTCGGAAAAAAAATAGTAATCATCAACGATTTTTCGGCGAAAAAAGCTCGAAAGGTTCCGTTTGTTAACTCTGAGATTTAATTTCAGATAATTCTTGTTTCCGTTTATATTTATATGTGTTTGTTCAATACTAAGGGAATCTACTTGGTTCACAATAAATTTTTTATTGAAAAACTCGACTGAAAAAAAATTGTTTACTTTATTTGGAAAATAATTTGGGGTGAGGGGGCCTCCGCTCCTCTGTTGCCCCGAGGCCTCTGGACCTCTAAATCCGGCCCTGCCGCGAGTCGTCCTCCTTTTGTTAGTCCGTTCGGTCTCAGGTTCGATTCCTGTTTTCTGTGTTAGTTTACACATGTGATAAATATGTATCACTTGTTATATATGGAGTAGAGTATGTTTATTTGAACTTCAGTCTTTTAGAGGACATCACTTCCGAACTCTGGAATATACAATAATACTAAATAACCTTATTGGTCCACGTGCGTGTAGACTTTCTGGAATCCCTAGGTAATAAAAAAATCCCAAGATAATTTTTAAAGTCGAAAGTTCGCGCCAACAATTCTACTTTTTCGTATAACTCATTTCATTAGGTATCATTAAAGCAATTAACAAGCGCCATGATCGCTATTACTCCGTGATCATGGCAGGTGATTGCAAAAAATACTTTAATGTTAGTGACCATGAAAATTTAAACAATATATCATTGTGAACCATTAAAAACAGAAATAAATGTATAAAATTCGATAATTTCATTACCTTAACTAATGAATAATGACTTCATTTTCCGAAAGTTCCTCTAATTTTACGAGAATTATTATAATTAACTATAAAAAAAGAAAGACCTTTCAATTTGAGTTAAAACTTTACAAGAGAGGTTCTTGTAATAGCATTATTACAATAATAATCAAGAAGGGGTACAGCGGCACTAAAATAAATTCCCTTTCAAATATGAACAATATACTCGAGGAATCTAGACGCTTACCGCAGTTCGCGTTGTGTTGTACAATAAATAATGGAGTATTAACCTATAAAGAAAAGTGATACAATAGCTTTATATTTACGATGAAGCTATTGTATCACTATAATAATGAATAAATGAATGTTCTTAGGAAATAATTGAAGATTCGAAGATATTTTAGAACCAAAAAGATTTATTTTGCATTGTGTGTTGTTAGGTAGTTCTGACCAAGATATTATTAAAATTTATTGAACCCGTTCATTGTGAGTGAATTTCAAGAAAATATTCAAGTCTGCCGTTTTGTATTTCTAAATATATATTCTAAAATACCATAGCGTTGTCAACTCCCTGGGGAATTTTTTGACCCGGTTCAATAATAAAAGTCAAATTTATTTTAAGCAAATTTCAACTGGAATTGGAGCACTTCAATCTTATTTCGTAACTAAATATGTTAATTTATACCACTTCTTGTGAAACAATGTCGACGGAAACAATCAGTAACAATTCAATGTGACCCACCTAACTAATTAAAATTACAAAAAAATCGTAACCTGTATAATTATAAGCGACACACACAATACAGTCTTCTGCGAAGTTCGGTTCTCGGCGACAGTGATTGATAAAAGTGTGAATTGATTATAACAAAATATACAGTGAAATAAATATGAAAGACATTGATACTAAGCCGAGTTCGTTAAATGAAATATTAAGGTCGTTCGAAAAGAGTTTAGGCTTCAAGAACGATATTAAGTGGCCGAGTTTTATAGGGATCACTTTGTACCACATCATTGGAGTTTACTGGTGTTATCACTACGCTTATCCTGTGAAATGGCAGTCATTAGTATTCGGTGAGCGTTTTGTGACAGATAATTATTAATCTCATTATGAGATAAGAGAACACATACCTACCACACCACAGAATTTCCGTAGAATCTACACCAACATAAAAATAGATTATCGAGAATCCTCAAATTACCATCATATGTATAAATTGCTGGCCTCAAATACACTGTTACGAATTGTCACATTCATAAAATATTCTTACACAGGTACTACCTCTATGCGTAATAGCATTTGAATAGATTTTCTTATAGCGGTGATGTTTTTTCCGCTTCCTTTGATCTGTCAAGTGAAATGTGTACAATGTAACAAAGAAATTTCTTTCGAAGTCAATACTAATTTCTATAAAAAATATATAATTAAACGTAGTAGGTACCTATATTATTAATTTCCCAACAACTCTGCTATTTTGGTCAGTTCTGAAAGAATCAGAGCTTATTTACTTTGTGAGCTAAAACTGTATAGTGTATATATGTTATGAGTATGAATGTTTTAATGAATACATAATGTTTCGCTACAATTCCTAAAGCATTGGGCTGATTGTGTTGAAACTTGATGTGTTCTTCAGCGTTCGCCCGTGATGGTTTCCGACCTTAATATTGAAACACGGCTAAGAACTCACGAAGCGTTTTTTTAACGCACCCGCCGCGGGCCGCCGCAGAGCTGTTTTATTTCAAAACTAACGAGACTGCAGTTTTCTGCGATCTGCAGATCGGGCGAAAGCCGCCGTGTGTGCTCGATCAAGTCTCGCACGCACCCGCAGAGTGAATCCTACAATTTCACATTCTACGCGAGATGCAGTTTCGGCCGGGGCTAGCTTGCTACATATATAGTGATCTGTGGCCGGGGCGGACGCTGGCGATAATCGCGTCATGAGTTCTTAGTCATACCATATACCATCGACCATAGACAAGGAAGCCTATACAGTAACTTCTTTATACATATAAAAATGTCTACTGCGCAAGTTGATTTATCTGTGGTTTTGCTCAAGAAGTTTGCCGCTACCATGAAGTTATACTGCTCATCGAACAAAAGCTAAATAATTTACACCATACTTTAAGTGCATAATAATAATACGTTTCTTTACTCGTCAGATAATAATTCCACGCCGTACACGCTTTGGTACTTAGTACAGCGTCATAATTAAAAAGATCTTTCGTTTTTTCAGCTGCCATTATGTATGTAGCGTCTGGATTCGGGATTACGGGAGGCGCCCATCGCCTTTGGACCCACAGAGCATTTAAAGTCAAGCTACCGTTAAAACTGTTCTTCCTCATGTGTTTCGCCAGCGCCGGTCAGGTAAGATAACAACAATTTCAGAATGAATATATCGAAATATGGATGCTAGTAATAGATACATATATATATACTAATAGATGTCAATGGAAGGGAAAAGAATAAAAGGAATTTCTCAAACGAGAAATGTATCATTTTCATGTATCTATTTGCGTACAGAAAGTCAGGTGACTCTACCCCACCTAATATCTCTCAACATTAGTGTTGAGAAAGTAGTGTTAAAATCCAGACGAGAAGATAGCTGGCGTAGCAGTTATAAACTTCCACACCAAACATCAAGTGGGTAAGCAAAGCACGCGTGTCAAAAAAAAATGTGTTACGTAGCTACAATTTATAATTTTTTTATAGCGATGACGGCAATTGGCTGTACCCCACCTGATGTTAAGCGGTGATAAAGTCCAAACGCGAAGACAGTTGGTACAGCAGATATAAGCTGCTACACCAACTATCCTCACCTTGCCGGCCTGCAAAAATGCTTCTTCACGCCTCTCTTAAAGGACCCCAGATTGTAGGAAGGAAGGAACACGTGCGCTGTCAAAGAATTCCACTTACGAATAGTACGACAAAGAAATGAGTCACCAAATTTCTTTGTTCGTGTAGGAATAGTGGCCACAGTAAGTCGGTGGCAACGTAGGCCAGCGCGCGTGGTCCTCTGAAGAAAAGGTGATGGAGGGATAAGGGAGAATAACTACTCAGAACACTCGCCGTGGTATTATAGTCGGTAGAATGCGCTTAATAATGCCACATCGCGGCGTAATAATATATTAGAGTCTCGAGTTTCTTAGTTACCTCTGCATCACCAATGATGCGGGCAGCGCGCCGCTGCAACCTATCTAAAAGCAGAAAGAGTGTGGGGGATATAATGGAGCCCTGAGAAACACCGGTACTCACTGACATGAACTGCGAACTACATCCATCCGTAAGGACGCAAATTCAATGCTCATGCAGGAAGTCAGCTACCCAGGCGTAGAGCTGAGCAGGCAGACCGTATGCAGGGAGCTTGGAGGGAAGGAGAGAATTTAGAGTGATATAGGAAAAATAAAAACAGAGACACCGGTTCTAATACAAAATATAGAGGATGGTCTTGCCATTGACATTGTTTCTTTTAGAGCACAAGTTATAAAAACTCTCATTTTAAGAGTTCTTACTTTGATCAATTTCTTAAACAAGTAGGTATAAGTGAAAAAATATTGCTCAAGTTATTACTTAAGCAGAAGTGATGTCTTTTACTTGTTTATAAATACGACGACGGTAAAGCCTCGATGACACGGGGAGAGTTTACAAGCTACAAGCTAGCGAGTTTGCTAGCAGCTTGTAAACTCGCCCCGTGACATCGGCTTTTTTACCATCTGCTACTCGATAATACGGGGCGAGTTTACAAGCTGCTAGCGAACTCGCTGGCTTGTAAACTCGCCAGGTGTCATCGAGGCTTAAAGGGAATGGCGGACTTCCGCCATTCCCTTTAAGCCTCGATGACACGGGAAAGAAAAGTTAGCCACTTGGCTAACTTTTCTGCCACATCTTCTAAGGTAGGTAAGGGTAAATCTTCTAGGGTAAGGTAGTAGGGTAGGGTAATTTGCTCACGGCTCTTAAAAAAAATAACGTATATGTACGTCGACCATTTTGTGTGGTCGTGGTGATTCCATACTTAAAACCGCTTCTTTACTTATTCCAACAGAACTCCTTATACCAATGGGTGCGTGATCACCGAGTACATCACAAATTTAGCGACACTAACGCGGATCCCCACAATGCGAACCGAGGCCTCTTCTTCTCCCACATCGGTTGGCTAATGATGAAGAAGAACGAGGAAGTAATGCTGCGCGGCCAACAAACCGACATGACCGATATAGAGAACGATCCGGTTCTACGATTTTACGATAGGTAAGATCAAGGCACATATTATATTATTATTCACGTATTAATGGGTACTCTAGAGCATCTCCTCCTATGATTATGTTCTATACTGCTTTCTTCTCTAAATTACAATATAAGCATAGATGAATGATTGGTCTCGTTTCACTCGACTAGATACCGCGCTCTCAAAAAACATCAGCTCCATAAATGCGGCAACTCATTATTGTAGTGTGTGTATGTCAATTTGCAATGATGCTTTCAAATGTCAGAAATCGTGTAGCCAGCTGCTCAACTGCTACCCAAGTAATAGGGTAAATATTGTAGGCTATAATTAATATGTACCAGGTTATAAATGTAGCTCATAAAATACTTGAAGCAGATGTACTTAATTAAATATTTACTTGTACATTATAACAGTGATTCAAGTGTGATAAGTTGGTCACTATAAACGAGACATTATTGTAACTTGGTAAGGAAGCTGAGTGTGTAATGATCAATGCAAACGAGCTGCATACGACGTTTTTCAACACAATTGCGACGAAAAAACGAACTTGCAGTTAGTAACTGTTATAAAGGTCAACTGACCTTTGCAGCTTTGTTGCCAAGTATTTTGACATTACGGAGCTACCTTCAAAAACTTTTCAAAATCGGTTGGTGACAATACTTTTGACTTTCGTCCAATATATCCATCAGAACGTCGCTTTAGAAATGTCGTCATGTTACTATATTTTCATAAATCAACTGGCGGCAACAGCCTATCACTCGCGTTTCGTGCCTCGATAAGTATTTCCGGCGGGGTTGAATTAAAATTGTGCAAATATTATTTATTAATGCGCTCACAGGTTCAATAATGGCACAGGAATAATTTTTAATAAAAATATAACCGATTTCAAAAATACTGAAAATGTAAAATAAAATTTATCGTGAAGTCGATCGTTATTATTATCATGACCTCCCTGCTAAACACATACCTTCGTATCGACTTCAAGTATATCAGGCGTTAAATCAATTTTTATTAAGTCGGTTTTATTTTTATTAGAAATTTTAGTTACACAAAATACGCTTCTAGTTGGAAATAGTAAAAGCGTAGATCCACACGGGTAAAACCGTGAGACATTGCTAGTAAATTATATACTAAAACCTTTTCAAAAATGCGTATTTACGCATTAATATGCGCGAAAACCCGTATCCAATTCGGATCCGTAGCTTTGAGATTATCATGGTCAAACATGCATACATACAGATCAAACTGAGAATATCCTTTTTTCAAGTCTGTTTAAAGACCGACTGTGCAGCCGGAACATAGAATAAACTATAAGTATAAATAAATGTTTCTTAATACTTTAGTTAGTTAATTTGTGTTTATAAATACAAAATGAATTGTTTATTTGTTATCTTAACCCTAAAATAATTTAAATAATATGATGAAATTAAAAAAAAATACACCACAAGTATGGTAGTTAATATGCTGAATTGTGAAACTAAAAATTGTGTAAATAATAAGAGTCAGTTTACGAGAAAATGTGTTGAAAAATTGTTATTAAAAATAATAACATTATCAAAGGAATAAAAGGTAGATTATAAAGATAAACGTTGAATAATATAAAACTAGGTTATGTTTAATTGCAAGTTTAATAGTAAGTTTCAATAGAATAGATTCAATAATAAAATACACTCACGATAAATTCACATTATAAATAAAAATCTCAACCATAGGACTTTGATTCTTGTATACGCGGCAAGGCAACACCTGATTGACGTTTAGGGTTCATGTTATTTTATGTTGAAATTTCGAAATTTTACTATACTTATTGATGTTATGTGATCCCAGCGTCTTTGTTATTTATTGTTGTATTATTTTACTAAATAAACTGGCTTTTTACTTTCGATTAACACCAAATTTTAATAAAACATTCACTACGTACACCCCGTACACAACTGTCAGGTTGACTGACTCGGTGAAAGCTCGGGTATGCCGATTTCGGCATAGTATTTGTTGCCGCATTATGGTAGCCATACACACTACGAGAAATCGTTACGATTAGACTGTACCGTCCGAACGGTACCGATAAATCGTAGCGTGTATGTTATAAAACTGCACAGTTTTCTATACGTACGCCACGTACGATAAACTGTTCCGTTCGAACTGTACAGTCTGATCGTAACGATTTCTCGTAGTGTGTATGGCTACCATTAGACTAGTACGCCGGCGGTATCTAGTCGAGTGAAGCGAGACCAATCATTCATCTATGAATATAAGTATGTTTTCTATTCTACGGTACTACTGAAAACCGTTTCAGAATGCCCGATGCCCTCTCGAATTGAGACAAAAAGCAACCGCGTTCTTTTACTTTGAATCCTACTTTTTATCAAATTATCTTGAGCCTTTATGCCAGCCGTTGGCACAAGACAATAAATAAGCAAAAAGGTTGGTATCGCTGCGGGCGTTACAGTACCTAGGTCTTATTTCTTTAAATCCACTCACACTTTTCTGGTTAAACATAAAAACAATTCTTAATTATGCGAGTAACACATTTATAAATAAAGGATGATAACTGAAACCTATTACTAAAACTCCGTTAACCGGCCCTTCGTCTATCTGTGTGTCAATAATCTTTATCTCATGATGCCCTACCAGATATTTAGATGGTTGCTTATTATGTTGTTATGTAATTGTTTAGTCTAAAACGGGCTAAAATAGGGTAGTCGGAAAAAACTCTCACGGCGAACGCGCGGTCGTTTTGTCTATATACTTAAACTGGCCCAAAGAGTAACATAAGTATAATAAGCTGGCCACTGAACGGCGTAGTGCTCGGGCCGAGTTTTATGCAACGGAATTTGCATCTGGAATTTTGTTTTCGGTATTTAAATTACGCGATCGGCAGTGCGTTTAAGTAGTTTTGTTGGGTTCACTGTGGACAAAGGGAGTTGTGCAGTGCTAAGCGGAGGAGCTTTGCGGACAGCGTACTGGACCCAAGGTTGGAGCAGTGAAGCTCGCCTTGGAACACCACACCGGACTTAGGTTCTACTTATCACTCATGACACTAAACATACAGTACACCTTGATTTCATTTAGTTTGCATTAACACTATTCAATTTGTCTAGGTGCGCCTCATTAATCCTCAAGTGAGTTATAGTCTAGGTGTCATTTTGTTTTTATGTGTATTTACTGTAATGATTTTACATTGTGAATTTTAGGTTTTTCGCATTTTAGATCTAATTGTCGGTAAATTTATTTTCAAGGGCCCAGCACGATCTTTACTTTCAACATTTTGGTAGCAGAGCGTAGTTCTTAGTGTTAGGTAATTTAACACGCGGACCCCTTTTAGTAGGTTATAGAATAGGTAGAAAAACGAGTTAGGTAAACAGCTTCGCTGGTTTACGGGATTATGCGCGTTATTGGATCGGGAAAATCGGGAAGACGCGTTGATCCAACGCGCCTCGGAAATGCAGACGCGGTTCTTGGCGGCCGAGGATGCTGTGACCAGGCTATTGGCTACTGACCCTGCCACGGAGGATGAGGTGTCGGCCCATCAGCAGTACCTAAAGGACCTGGAATAGGCTCAGGATATTTATGACCAGGTTCTTCAAAGGGTTCGGGACATTGAACGGCTGCGGGAGGGAAAGCCCGTTACACGCCCCGCCTCGCTCGGCACTGCTGGATCCAGTGCTATGGATCGCCTACCCTCACTGTACGTCCCATCCTTTTCGGGTTGCATGCGGGATTGGGCCGGATTTCGGAACATGTTCACTTCCTTAGTGGACACCAGGTTGGACCTGACGAAGGCGGAGAAATTGGCGTACCTCCGCTCATTTTTGGAAGGAGAACCACGGGAGCTGGTTCAGTATTTGGAGCTGCAGGACTCCAATTACGACACAGCCATGGAGCTGTTGGGAAAGAGGTACGAGAATCCACGCCTTCAGGCGGATTCTCATACCGCATTTGAGGTCACAGTTGATCACGCCGGTCACTGTAGCCCTGAACGGATTACTGGCAGTCGGGTTGCCTGTCGGGCACTGGTCCTTTTCGCTCTTTCTCATTGTCCTGACCAAGCTGCCTCTGGAGCTGAAGGCCCAGTTCGAACGGGAACGGGTCATGGACAAGGAGGACAAGAAGCTGTTCCCTGCTGTCGAGGAGTTGATGGATTTCCTTGATCTGGAGGCCCGGATCTTGGAAACCTCCTCACAGGAGGCTCCAGCCAGTGCGCCGGCCCGCACCCCCGGAACATTCAACGCACGTCGACCGCCGAACTCAGACAAGGGTCGCGGTAGGCTGGTGGCGGCGGTCGCCACCGGGCCTGGTTCGGGTTGCCGAGTATGCGGACAGCCACACTCGGAGCAAAGCTGTCAGCGGCTCGCAGGAATGACGGTGCGCGAGCGACGAAACCTCATCCGGACACGAGGCCTGTGCTACGCCTGCCTAGGGGGACATCGTTACAACGATTGTTCCCAGGCAAGGCCATGTGAGGTGTGTGGTGGACCACACCATCCTCTGCTGTGCACCCAGGGAAGCGAGCGGGCTGCGCACGCCCGAGGGGAAAGGCTCCCCACGGGTGGGGGGGTAGCCCCGAGAAGCTACATCGGCAGAACCGAGGACGGTTCTGCTTCCCATCGCGGAGGTGCGTGTTTGGGGACCCAGGGGGGTTTTCGTTCGGATACGAGCCCTTCTGGACACTGGTGCACAGGGGTGCTTAATATCTACACGGGTGGCGGTGCGCCTACAGCTGGATTACGCGCCTCCATCCGCTCCGATTCGAGGAGTCGGAGATACGGAAGTGCGGGGCCTGTCGGGTCAGACCCACATCTCCGTTTCCCCGGCACAGGTTTCATCGATGCGGATCGCGGCGGCGGCGACTGTACTCGACAGCCTGCTGGGATGGCATCCGTCCACAGACATCCCTCGGGAGGCGATGCCGGACACCTCAGGTCTCACTTTGGCGGACCCTCACTACGGTGAGCCGGCCCCGGTGGACCTTATATTGGGTGCGGATGTATTGGGCTGGATTTTACTAGGGCCCCAGCGGAGGCTGGGTCAATCTTCGATGGTGGCGGTCCCGACCATCTTCGGACACGTCCTGATGGGACCGGTTTACGATGAGGGAGGTCTGGATACCTCGCCTGTCGTCGCTACAACTTCTATCGCTAGGACGATGATTAAGTTCTGAGAGATCGAAGAGCCTCCCATGGCCTCCCGTCTGGATCCGGAGCATGTGGAGTGCGAGGCGTTCTACAAGAAACACACTCGTCGGATGGCGTCGGGTCGGATCGATACCCGACTACCTTTTATTGACTGCCCCCCCCTTCTGGGAGAATCGAGGGCTTTGGCAGAAAAACGGTTGTTGGCTATGGAGCGTCGTATGTCCCGCGATCCTGTACTTCGGGAAAAGTATATCGAGTTTATGCGCGAATACGAATTGCTGGGCCACATGTCTCGGGCGACTGTCGACTGGACAACGACAGACTACTTTTTCCTGCCTCACCATGCGGTGTTGAAGGCATCGACGGGAAAATTGCGGACGGTGTTTGACGGATCGTCACCGTCGTCGACTGGGGTTTCCCTGAACCAGTGCCTCCATTCTGGTCCGAAGTTGCACAGGGATATCATAGATATCATTATGAACTTCCGGAGGCATCAGGTGGTGATCGGAGCCGACATCCGGATGATGTTTAGGCAGATGCTCATCCACCCTGAAGACAAGAGATTTCAATTAATACTCTGGAGAGAGCACCCTGATGAACCGGTGACCGTCTATGAACTCAACACAAACACATACGGCCTGAAGTCGAGTCCCTTCATCGCCATCCGCTCGCTGTTGGAGTTGGCGGAGCAAGAACGGACCCGCTTCCCACGGGCGGCCGCCGTGTTGGAACGCGAGGCGTATGTTGACGATTTGTGTTTTGGGGCCCCATCGGTTGAGGAAGCCCTTGTGATACGGGATGAGCTGATCGGGCTGCTCGCGGCTGGAGGCTATGAGTTGAGAAAATGCATTTCTAACGAGCCACAGGTTCTGGTTGGGATTCCGGAAGAACACCAACAGAATCCTCAGCTGTTTGAGGACGCAGGAGACCCTCATTCAATCAGCGTATTAGGAATGCGGTATCAGCCAGTTAGGGATATATTTACGTTCCAGATGAACCTGGAATCACCTCGAGTTTGGTCGAAAAGAACGGTTCTTTCCGCCATCGCTCGAATGTTTGATCCAAACGGTTGGATTAGCCCTTGCATCTTCTCGGTCAAGTGTTTATTGCAAACACTGTGGACTCTCGGAGTCTCGTAGGATGAGCCACTGGTAGGGCCACCACTGGACGCTTGGCTCGAGTCGATTTCAACGATCGAGGCGATCAATCAAATTGCGCTACCGCTGCGGATCTTGCCGCCGGGTAAATATACGGCCAGCCTACACGGTTTTTCCGATGCGTCGGAGAAGGGTTACGCGGCAGTCGTGTATCTGAGAACGGAAGACTCCGAAGGTCGAGTCACTGTCTCTCTGCTTATGGCTAAAAGCAAGGTTGCCCCTATCAAAACTCGATTGACAGTCCCCAAGCTGGAACTTTGCGGGGCTCAATTATTGTCGAGGTTGTTGTGCCACGTGCATAAAGAACTGTCACCCACGGTGGACCTCCGGAATGTGTATGGCTGCTCCGACAGTCAAGTAGCCCTGGCATGGCTACGTGCTGCACCTCACACTCTGGAAACATTTGTCGCCAACTGGGTATCTCAGATACAGAACGCCGGTATCGAAATTATCTGGAGACACGTTCCCGGGACCTGGAATCCCGCCGATTGTGCCTCTCGAGGATGCACAGTGCCGGAATTGGTGCAACATATGGACTCTGGTGGGGACCAGAATGGTTGACGGAACCCAAATCATCATGGCCGGTTAACATGGTCGATAGGTCTCCAGCTGTACTGCCTGGACTAAAAGTCCTTGTGGTAACCAGCGAACCGAAACCAGGTCGGGACTGGTTGATGGCTCGGTACATCATACTGGATAAGCTGTTAGGTGTGACCAGCTGGATCAGGAGATTCATACATAACTGCCGCCAGCCGAGCGAGAAGCGATTGTCACCCATCGCGACTGCTGAGGAACGCCGAAGTTCGCTCTTGTTCTGGATACGGTTGGTTCAGGCTGAACAGTTCGAGGACGAACTGAGAGTTCTGCACACCGGACGCGCAAAACTCAAGGGAGCGGTCTCTCGACTTAACCCATTCCTGGATTCGGATGGAAATCTACGCGTTGGAGGTCGGCTTAGGAATGCTAACCTGCCCTTCGGTAGTCGTCACCCTCTGTTGCTCCCCAAAGGTGGACCTTTGGTGGATCTCTTGGTCTCAGACAGACACGTGAACAACGCCCACGCGGGATGTAGGGCATTACTCGGGATTCTACAGCGGGAATTTTGGATCTTGTCTGCCCGGAGAGAGGTTCGCAGCGTTCTATTTATGTGTGTGACCTGTTATCGGGTGAAGGCCTCCACGATGCAGCCACAAATGGGAGACCTTCCGTCTGACCGAGTTTGTCAGACCACTAGGCCGTTCGACGGCGTCGGTACGGATTTTGCCGGATCTTTTATTGACCATAAACGACCGCATATCGTAACACCAGGGTCACGAAGGCGTATTTGTGTGTCTTTGTCTGTCTGGCCACTAAGGCCGTCCACCTGGAAGTGGTATCGGCTCTCACGACGGCGAGGTTTACCTTCTCACATTCGGTCCGACAACGGCACCAACTACAGGGGTACGGCAAATTATTTGAAAGATGTGAACGATTTCTTAGATAAGAATTGTAATAGCATATGTCAAGCTCTCGCACAGAGGGGAATTACGTGGCGATTTAGTGTGCCAGCGTGTCCCCACTGGGTAAATTTAAGTTTATTTGAAGCCGCTGTAAAATCAGCAAAACCCACTTGCACCGAGTAGTCGGGGAAACTACTCTCACTTATAAGGAACTCACCACTATTTTTTGTAAGGTTGAGGCGGTCCTCTCTCTTCTGATCCAAACGACTTGGAAGTCCTGACCCCTGGTCATTTCTTGATCGGGCAGCCGCTCACGGCCCTGCCCGAATATCCCTGGACGGATGAGCGCAGACATCGATTGTCTCGCTTTCAAATGTTGAAGCAAATGGGTCAGGACTTGTGGCGTCGTTGGTCACTGGAATATCTGCACCTATTGCAGCAACGTGTAAAGTGGACAGACCGGACTTCTCCCCCTTCGGAAGGAGATCTGGTTTTATTGAAGGAGGCTAATTTGCCATCGTTGTTCTGGCGACGGGGTCGCATCTTAAAGTTAATTCCTGGCGCGGACGGGACTCCGCGAATGGTGCAAGTGTTGGTTGATGGCTCTACTCTTAACCGCGCGGTTGCCACCCTCGCCCGTCTACCGGTAGACTAGTTTCCAGGACGAAACTAGAAAGCGGCACGGCCACTTTGGGTGGGGGGATGTTTAGTCTAAAACGGGCTAAAATAGGGTAGTCGGAAAAAACTCTCACGGCGAACGCGCGGTCGTTTTGTCTATATACTTAAGCTAGCCACTGAACGGCGTAGTGCTCGGGCCGAGTTTTATGCAACGGAATTTGCATCTGGAATTTTGTTTTCGGTATTTAAATTACGCGATCGACAGTGCGTTTAAGTAGTTTTGTTGGGTTCACTGTGGACAAAGGGAGTTGTGCAGTGCTAAGCGGAGGAGCTTTGCGGACAGCGTACTGGACCCAAGGTTGGAGCAGTGAAGCTCGCGTTGGAACACCACACCGGACTTAGGTTCTACTTATCACTCATGACACTAAACATACAGTACACCTTGATTTCATTTAGTTTGCATTAACACTATTCAATTTGTCTAGGTGCGTCATTAATACTCAAGTGAGTTATAGTCTAGGTGTCATTTTGTTTTTATGTGTTTTTACTGTAATGATGTTACATTGTGAATTTTAGGTTTTTCGCATTTTAGATCTAATTGTCGGTAAATTTATTTTCAAGGGCCCAGCATGATCTTTACTTTCAACAGTAATTGTAATAACATCTGTAAAATAAAAACTAAACTTAAAAAACATTTGAACAGTCATTCAGGATGAACTTCAACAATAATTCTTACCTGGCCTTTTTTTCATTTTATCTGCAACTTTTGCTGCGGCGGATGCTACATATTAACAATCCATTAAGTGGATTAGATATGTATAAATATATTAAATTTATTATTAAAAATGTGACAATAAATAATTTAAAAAAATAAAAAATGTCAAAAAATAACTATTACTACTCAAACAAATACAATACACACATTTTTTTTATTGAAAACACCACAGTACAATACATAAATGGGGTAAATACATTATGTTTTAACAAAGTGATTCAATGAAATATATATGTCGGATGGGCGAGCGGGATATAGGCGGTTGGCCACGTGGTTTTTCTTGATCCGCCATCTTGGTTATTCAATGATATTTCCCGAAAATAAAACTGTAGTCTAGTGACCAAGCTAACGTTTAATTTGAATCTTCTTATTACTTTACAAAATCAGTTATGATTGCCAAGGTACAAACGGATTGCTTTGTGAAGCGCGGAGAGTTCTGTGCTAACGTCCGTTCACTATCGCGGCTCACGTCTGAATGCCAAATGCCCCTTCCAATGACGCATAGCCCCTTAAATACTACCCTTAGCATAGACCACTCCCAAGTGATGACAGCTGTCACTGTCATCACGTCAAGTACGTTTCACAAGGCAATGATACTCTTGACTGATGACATTTGTTGTCGGTTTAACGTTTCGAAGGAGCGAGTGAGACGCCAGCCGCCGACATATATGTATATCATAGTGAAACAAATTAATTGTCGTATGAAATAATTTCCTTTTTTTAATTTAGACATTTCAACAAGCTGAAATTGATCTTTTGCTACTACCTACCGACGATGATCGGTGTGTGGCTGTGGGGCGAGGACTGGAAGACCGCAGTGGCCTGGCAATGCTTCATCCGGTTCCTCACAATGTTCCACAGCGAACTCACAGTTAACAGTTTGGCTCATACTTTCGGCTACAAGCCGTACAATAAGTGAGTACAATTTGGTAAAAAACAGGTATTAAAATACATTAAATGGTTTACAGATTTTCATGTCAGTTAAGGCTTAGCTTACAGCGGGATCTTCCGATAGAATCGGAGCGCCGTTTTATGATAGTAACCATATACAGGGTTAATTTTAAAACACCAACGACCTCTTAGGAGGTGATTCTACCCATCAACAGGAACAACTTTTATTATGGGACCAACGCTGAAATCGGGAAAAAAAATCTGCTGTTTCATACAAAAGCGCATCAGCTAATCGACTGAAACAGCTGATTTTTATTTCGCGATTTCAGAGTTGGTCCCATAATAAAAGTTGTTCCTGTTGATGGATGGAATTACCCCCTAAGAGGTTGTTGGTGTTTTAAAATTAACTCTGTATATATAGCAACCTTATTATATTAAGTGTAAGTTGAGTCCAGTCGCGATGATAGCTGATACGGCAAAAGAATGTGCTGCTCCAGTAAGGTTGCTAATCCTACTATATAATCTAGTATCCTACTACGAGTATATTAGGGGATCAAATACTATATTTGTGAAAAAAATATATAGTAGGCAAAACTACTATATTTTGCGTAAAGAGGATATTTTATCAATAAAATATTTCTTAAAATTACCTATTATAGGAAGGTCCAGAGTAGCAAAAAAATTCATTTATAAATAAATTAAATATTTGAACCATACATACTATATTTTTTTTTTGCTATCCACTACATTTTTAGAGGTAACAGCTTCGAAAATACTATAATTGATAGATAACAAGTTGGTAACCCTAAACTCCAGCCATTTTTTTTATACGAGGCGTAACAAATAACCCTTCGCCACCTGATGTTAAGTGTAAGTAGATACCAGTAGCGGAGATGGCTGATGCGGCAGAATGCATGCTACTCCAGCCATCCCTACCTTGCCGGCCTGAACCCAACCCCCTACCCCGCGGAGCCCTAGAACCCTACTCACCAGCAGAAACACAACACCACAAAATTATAGATAGTGTTATTTCACTGTGGTGTTCTGTAAGGTGGAGGTTGCTTGCACATACGGGCGCTCCAATTTTAGCGGAGAATCCGCTGTGTCGTACCTCTTTTAAAACCTTCACTTTGCCGGCTAATCCAAACCAATCCCCGATCCTATGGAATCTTGAAATCTAACTCATCAACAGAAACACAGCACTAAAACCGACCAAGGTGGTAATGTAAATTGTCTTCACCAAATAATCAAATTCTATCAACGTTTAACGGCTTTTTGCTGTTACTTGTCCGTGTTGCTCTATGACTATTGAATTTGAGCACAAAATTATAATTAACGAATATTAGGTATAGCTATACTATTAGTAGCATTTTAAACACATAATTATTATGTACTTTTTATATATAAACCGTTATGCCATGATGCTTCTAAAGTAAAATATGTAAATATGCGTTGCTCACAAAATGCTGATTATCACAAGCACTTTTAACCCAAGACCTTATTTGCAAGTAATTAAAATAATTAACTCCCATACTTATGAGGTCAGGACTGTGGATTCCTACAGAGGTGTTGCTAAGGTCCTACGATATATCTATACAACATTCAGCAATCGGTACATCACGTCAGTTTTCATGTTGCTCGATCTTCTTTCGTGAAATGCGTGTTAACACCTTAATCTCAATTAAGGTGTCAACACCTATTTCGAATTTACCAAAGCGGTAATTAGTCTCATAAAATTGGTTTGTTCTGTTCTAGAAACATTATTCCTGCTGAGAACCGTTTCGTTGCCACATGCACACTGGGAGAAGGATGGCACAACTACCACCACGCATTCCCATTCGACTACAAAGCTGCAGAACACTTCGACTTCTTTAATTTCGGCACTTGGTTCATTAGATTTTTTGAGAAAATTGGCTGGGCGTACGACCTCCGAGAAGCCACACCTGAAATGATCAATTCTATAGCCAAAAGAATGGGTGACGGCACCCCTGTCCACTATCCATTAGGAAATAAAAATAAAGTGAATGATTGTGACGATAAGGAAATAATAGGATAAACGTTTGTTGTCATCAGTATGATTAATGTGTTAATTTAATTGGTCTACAAATTGAACTGAAAAATTATAAAAGTGAATGAAATTCTTAAATTAAGAATAGTATAAAAATAAATATAAGACTGTGATTGTTTATTTTATTTTATTGTGTAAAGTATAAGTAATACGTGAATTTCAGTCACTGATGTAAGACGAGCATATATAAAGTAAAAACTACCTCGCCTACTGGGTACTAGCCGATATGTTACCTTTTTTCTATGCAGATTCATGTTTGTATTTATACTTCCGGACACATCAGCTGTCCCAAATCAAAACACAGTAAGCGAAATTTTTGCCAGACACTTTTTTTACACCCTTCTTTTAACACATTAAGTGCCCACAATATGCAAAGACCCGTTATATAGCGATACCATAAAACCTAGTAAGTGCAAGTAAATGCACGAACTAAACCGTAATCCCAAATCAAAACCTAGTAAGAGCTGATCAGCAACCCAAAAACACAGCAGGGCACAGGTACTTTTTGTGTGTTTGGATTGGGAATTGTTACGTGCTGTGTTTTTTATTTGGGAATTAACATGTGCAAAAAACCGTAATATTTACAAATTATACTGTATAGCACACACCCGTTGAAGTTATCACCATGAATAAGATTATAAATTACTAAGAAGAATCAAATTGGTGCTATCCGTTCTGGGAGAGGGGCGGGGCGTCTCATGTTAATGGTCATGGTTAGTGTTGAATTTAATTTCAAAGAGTAATGTCATAAAACGTGCACCGAACATAATTTCAAACTTTTAAAATAGGTACCAAAATGTAGACGGTAATTTTTGGCGACTGGCTGCGGCTACAAACCTCCTTTTATAATCAAAAAAATTATTGAGATACTTTACAAAAACAAAAAATTTGGTTTTTTTACTTCAATATATTGGAAAATATCAACAATAGGGGGAAAAGTTTGGTATAAAAAAGATGGGAAATTTTGTTCTCTACAAAAAAGATCTCTTCGGTTTTTAACGTAAAACTTACCGTTTCCGAGATATATGCAAAAAAACGGTTTCCAAGATGGCGGCTAACGCTCGCGGTTTCGGTCGACAGAAACTCGGTTTTATACTTAGGGGGCACCCTCCGACATAATCCAATCGAAAAATAACGTAGAAGGATTTTATGCAGAGCGGACATCTAAAAATCTTGGACTATTATAATACGTTTATATTTTGTATTTGCTTTACTTTTCTACGTCACTTTTTGACTTGTCAACTATTAATCCTTACGGACGTTGATATTGTGAACAGAAAATTCTAACTTATTTACTGCTACGTGTCGTTGCTCTAAATTTATCTCATTTAAGCTTATTACAGTCTACCGCTACACAACAGTAATCTTTTCTACCATCTCCAAGAGTCATATTGAGCTTTAGCTTAGCACGACACTATTGATATCTTTTGCAACTTATCAAAGGTGTTTGCTTGCGTTAACCATGAAACATTGTTAAATAAAATGAGGCATTATGGTGTATCAAACATTTCACTAAGTCTAATACAGTCTTAGCTTTCTGCTAGGATTCAAAAAGTAGTTATAAATGAAGCTGAGTCTACATGAGCACTTATTTCTATGGGCGTGCCCCAGGGTTAAATAATAGGGCCTTTATTTTTCCTTATTTATATAAATGACCTTTCTCACTTTACTGATGATGACACCTCTTTAGTGTTTAAAGCAAGAAGGGAAGTTTCTGGGTATTACTTTAGACTCGAATCTGCAATGGGATCCTCATATTGACGCCTTATCAAGTAGTCCGAACACCGCGGCTTGTGCTATTAAAAATTAAGACTCTTAACTGATGTGGAAACAACAAGATTGGTTTACTATGGTAACTTTCATTTCGTTGTGACATATGGCCTTTTGTTGTGGGGCTCAGCTGGTAACATGGATAGTATTTTCATACTGCAAAAGAGAGCTGTTCGTGCCATATACTACTTGAATGCAAGAGATTGTCTTACAGAAAAAAATATAGAAAATAATATTTCAACACTGGCATCGCAATACATTTATGAAAATATAATATATCTAAGAAAAAAACTATGACGGATTTGCAAAAATAAGTCAAAACCCATAAGTTTAACACGAGATTTAAGAACAAGCTTACCGTTCCATGTTTTAGACTCCAATAATCAAGAGATTCATTTCTAGGTTGTAGTATTGCACTGTTTAATAAAGTTCCCCAAGATCTGATTCAGCTTCTTAGACCAAATTAAATCTCAGATCAAGAAAACTCTTATGATTAAGGGCTATTATAAAGTTGTTGATGTATGGGTATTATAAATTTTTCATAACAATAATGTGGTATCTGAAGCCGCTTCCTATATACTCAAAATACGAATTCTGGTTTTATCAGCATTAACAGCCTTTGAAGTTCAAACAGCACGCGGTCGCCCCGATCTTTTCTGGTCTTCGACAGATGAAGTGTTGTATCTGTTGATATTACGATCTACGAACATACGGCTGATACCAAGCTTTTGAAGTGTCTCAATCTCGAATATGTCCGACGGCTCCATACCTACTTTGTGCAAGGCGATCACTGCAATCCTATTTTCTTTAACACCCCATTCCATATTGTAATTTGATAATGAACACGAAAAAATATGTGAAATGGCGCAAAATCGAAAGTTATTAAGTTCCAAATATAAATAGTTAAAAAGTTGAAAAAAAGAAAAGTTTTTATATAACAATATTTATGGCCAGACTAGTTATAATAATAATACAGGGAGAAAAAAACAGCCCTTGCTGAGTTTCTTGCCGGTTCTTCTCAGTACAAGGTCCCCGCCTTCGTTTTGCGAACCGATGGCGTAGCTTCTCGACTTTCACAAGTGCTTGTAGTAGTTCAATAGCCTAGATTGAATAAATTTTATAATTTGATTTTAGATTCACGGTTTCAAAAAAATCTTTAAAATCATCAAATTCATGTTTTTTGCTCATCTCTAAAATTTGGTGTGTTTTGATTTGGGACAGCCAACATATAGCGGCCCACCTAATGTTTAAATTTTTGCGGTCTCTAGCTATAAATAAAGTTACATTGCGTAAAAAGTTTTTACACAGTTTTTAAGCTGATTTCTTAACCATCATTTTCGTGTATTTTAAAAATTATTTTGCTTTTGCTCAACCTAACATTTATTTTTGCTCAGTCTATTAAAACTTATAACACCAAGTGGGCCGATAGATGTGTCCAGGACTGTATATGAATTTTAAAACAATTGGGATGATGACTTAACTTTTTTTCTGCGTCTATCAGGTAGATTATCAATAAATATTGGACACGTATTTATTCTTTATTCACATAAACAAAACACTATAGAGATAATATTGATTCGAATTGACGTCAAGTCTTGGTATAATTTTTACTTATAAGTGACGACATGAGTCCCCAATCCCAAACTTTGATGCGCTGATTCTTCGTCATTTTTTGGTTGATTGACAAGAGAAAAAAATACGTGACCATTATTTTTTGTTAAATGTAACTGACGGACTAAACGGAATATCGTTTTACTTACCCTGTCTTCTTCCCTAATAAATTACACCATTTTAAAGTTAAATGTAATTTGTGTACCCTGACAAGAACCTCATTTACACGTACATTTAACTAGAATTAAAATTTAGCGTTGGCCTTCTGAGTTGGTCCACAGAATTTCCCACCACGAAGTCTAGATTCATCACCGCACTTAACAAATGCCCAAGAAGTAGCGACTTGAACGGATTTAGGAACGAACTTCTATCGTTAGAACTTTTATTCTTTACGACCTCAGTGCTCCGACGACACCGAGGAGATTTCAACTTGATTTATGTTTAAAGATAATCCATATAGAAATATGCGACGTCTTACGCTGATGGCTTTGGTTTTGTTGCGATTATATTATAATATGTAATAAATAAATAAATACAATAATGCTTCACGAATTGGAACACCCGTCTGACACAAGCTAATCTCTTTCCCGAACATGAAATGAAAGGGTTCGTGGAATAAGTTAAAATGAAGCCTTTGATACCTCCCGTTTCTAAGAAAAGTATTTTTAATGGCCTGATGGTCCCTGAATCATGAAGAAAATGTCCGCCGAAGACTTGTCACATATTTTGTTCCCCGAAATTCCTTTCGCTTGTCCCCCGAAATCCAAAAAAAGTGAGCGTCATTCGATGCAACTGTAAGCGATCTATTTCGGTGGTAAAAAAATATAACGGACTTTTTTCCGTAGTATTTTTAGTCCTTGGTTTGAGTACACTATAGATTTTTTTTTAGCCAGGTATGTAAATGACTCTACCCCACCTGATGTTAAGTGGTTATAAAGTCCAAAGGCGAAAAAAAGCTGGTACAGCTGGTTGCAGCTATAAACTGCTACACCAACCATCCTCACCTTCAAAAATGCTTCTTCACGCCTCTCCTAAAGGACCGCAGATTTTAGGAAGGACGGAACACGTGCGCGAGCAATAAATTCCACTTACGAATAGTACGACAAAGAAATGAGTCACCAAATTTCTTTGTTCGTGTAGGAATAGTGGCCACAGTAAGTCGATGGTAACGTAGGCCAGCGCGCGATCCTCTGAAGAAAAGGTGATGGAGGACTTAGGGAGAATAACTCCTCAGAACAGTCACCGTGGTATAGTCGGTAGAATGCGCTTAATGATGCCACATCGGCGGCGTAATCTTAGAGACTCGAGTTTGTTAGTTACCTCTTCATCGCCAATGATGTGGGCAGCGCGCCGCTGCAACCCATCCAAGGCATCACATTCAAATGAATGCATCTAGTTACCTCTACTCACAAAATCCCGTGCCAATATTATATGGTAGAAAGGACAAACATTGCCTAAGAGTTAAAATAAAAGTTAACCCTTTAGTACCAGGTAGATGATAAAAGTTTGTTCCCTCGTGGCCATTAGACAATGTTTAACTTAGATATACCCGTACTCTGGGGCTCAACATTCTGTGTTTCTAAGTAATAAACAAACTTGGGTTTTTAAAAGATACATATAGGGGCCATAGGTAGGCACCATTTATAACTTTTTAAGCAGGTTACCATTTGCAGCTATAAACAACGGAAAGGTTTACAAACTACGACAATGACATTTACGTATGCAATAACGCAAACACATAATATTTAACTGTCAAATTAGTACAAAAGTCTAGAGGTAACGCATCTTTGTTGCTCTGCACATCGTCTGCCATCGTGGAAGGGCTATAAGGCGGTGAACTATGATGAAAGTTTACTATTTTTTGATTTGAACTTTAAGCACAAACAGCGGCGTCTTATAAGTTGAACGTGCAAGTATCAGTGGCAGATATAACAGTAACAAGTGTATGATATGAGATCAAAAGGTAGGTGTTAGGTATACGCTCTCACCCCATAGAAATAATTTCTGTGTCTTAACCCCTAAAATGGATAAACTGTTCAACTGACATTTGTAATTAAGGGAGGTTCAGATTCCATAAATACTTCCATACACCTGACTGACCAAATCAGGATAGGTAAGATAACACGCGACACCCTGCCCCCCTAGCATGAGCACCACGATATGATATATAGCTCGTTTTTATCACGCTCAATTGTCAAATAACTATGGAGTTTGACAGTTCGACGCGATAAAAAACATGATATAATGTATTTTACGGTACTCATGCTACGGGGACTGGAGGCCTACCTCCTATCGGGATTAGTTTGGCTATTGCTATATGCTTATGATCTCATTTTTTTTAATTCTGACCGCCGAATTTTTTTTAAATAACTCAAAATAAAAAGTTTTGCTGGTTGCTGGTTTACTAAAAACAGCTAATAAAGCTACTAACTTTTGTACCTTGCTAGAAAGCTTATGAAACCAGTTTGTCATTTTATTAATTTGTACGTCAAATTCCATACAGTTTTTTTCCAATTATTTACGACGAAGTTCGGGAAAATATAAAAAAATTAAATTATTGTTAATAGTCAGAAAAAATCGAAGAACCGTCACAACTCGATATCCATCCAGTTTTGACCCCTTCCAAGGAATATGTCGAGTTTTCCAGTCACCCTATATAGGTGCCGTTATTTTAGTCGATAAATAAGACTCCAGGGCTTCACGATGTGCGTTATCTCGGCCAGAAAATGTCGAAAAACTTCATCCAAATGCAAAAGATATAATTAGTTATCCAGCTTCAGAGGCCTAAGCACGCATTGTGACAGCACCGTAAAAGTGTCGTAATTTTGTATGGGAGGAGCCAGTTTGTTCTTACGTCCGGTACCCTTAGCACATGGAGGTTAAAGAGAAGGAGAACGACCGCTACGTGCTACAGCATTAGCCCGCCTGTCCCTGAATATTTTTAGAATTTATAGTTTATAACCCGCGGTTTAGCAGGGATATTTTCCCGCTGTAAAACGTAGCCTATGTGTTAATCCAGGGTGTCAGCCAACTCCATACCAAATTTTATTAAAATCGCTCCAGCCCTTTAGACGTGAAGCAGTAACAAACATACTTACACACTCACAAACTTTTGGCTTTATAATATAAGTGTGATTTTTCATCATTTCATCATTCAGCCACCAGCCGCGCTGCCGTCGGTAAGTACCTGTGAAGTTAGCTGTTTATGAGTACAAGTAGATGAAGTTAGTTAATTAGCGCACCAACAGTCCGCTTTTATTGAGACAACTTAGCGATTGCTGCGCCTCACTTATTTTGTCCATATTTCTAGGACACTATTTTCTACAGCGATCGTTCTCCTTCTCTCTAACCCCCATGCCTTACACGAACCAGTATCGAATTCAAATAGTTTGCGAGTAAGAAATGTCATTGTCAAATGTGTACTGATTTTTTGTTCTCGTTACGTCCATTAAAGCACTGCTGTTCAAGTTAGGGAGTTACATTTAGCACTCGCGATCTATTCGATTTCGATAATGGTTCGTGGGGTCCGGTAGTTAGTGGGAGCTGCTTAGTTTTCATGGAAACTTTGACGATGCGATACGATTACGGAGCTATCAAAATTCGTACTTGAGCATCTGTAAGTAGTAAAATTGGTTGATAAAAACAGTTCCGGCTGGAGTACGGTTACCGCAAGCAGATATTTTTTTTTACTTATTGGATATGTTGAAATTAATGTTATCTTAATAATTAGATATCAATTTGATTATTATAAATATTCTTGGGTTCACACAAAGTTAGGTTAGTGTTGTGACCATGAAGCGGCCGACAAGGGCCAGAAAAAATTTCGTTAACTGTAAGATTAAGCAGTCTCACCGCCATTGTCTAAATATCCGTTTTCAAATTTCTTAAGATTTATGCGAAAATTTAATTAATCATATCTTCCTACGACGTTTGATATCTAAATTTTAAGATAACATTCATTTCAACATACCCAATATAAGACAAAATATCCGGCTGCGGTAACGTTACTCCCGGGTTTGAATCCCGGTGGGGACAGATGTTTGCGTGATGAATACGAGCATTTGTACTCCAGCCATGTTAATATGCATTTCTATATATATATATATATATACTAGCTGACCCAGCGAACTTCGTACCGCCCTAAAAAAATAGGGGTTGTCCAGCGGACAAAATTGTGAATCTAAACCATTCTGAGATCCCCTTGAACACACACAAAAAATTTCATCAAAATCGGTCCAGTCGTTTAAGAGAAGTTCAGTGACATACACACTCACAGAAGAATTATATATATAAAGATATAGTTATATAAGCATCAGTATATGTATTCTAACCGTTTCCCTAGTTTCCCTAATTGCTAGCTAATTGGTGTCCGTTGGAAATATATACTTATTTATTATTATTATTACAATTGTTATATAATAGAAGCTCAAATGTTAAATTGTATCCACCGACGGAGTCTTCGACTGTACAAAGATATTCTACATTACGCTTTCTATTCGCCCGAGGGAATGAAGGGATAATATGTCAGTCTTACCTATGTACATCTACCTACGCGCTAATGGACATTGCTCTAAGATACAACCCATCTAACCTCATTTAGAGGAACATTTAGAGGATCACGTCAGGAAGTTACCTGCAAAAGAAAACATCACTTTATTTTTACTTTATTTATTAAATTTTCAAAGAAACTACAAATAAGTATAAATGAAAAAATAAAAACATGAATAATACAAAGTTTATTAAAACTTTATATAAAATAGGTAAATTAAACGCATTAAACATAAAAACACTGTTTAGATAATACATTTAGTACTCGTGGGTAAGTCCGAGTCTTTGTAATGTTTAGGGTCTGGATGGGGTCCGGTGCGGCAGTTTACGTCGCGTGTCAACCGCCACACTCGGCCATGAGTCGGTGCGTTCCTTTTAAAATAGCTGTCATTTAACCTCCACCCATATTCCCAGGCGCTACACTCTCTGAAGTAGTACCTCTTCTCAGGCAAAGTGCGTTTTCTACTGTTCAAATACACGACTCTGCCCTTAAAAGGAATATCGCCGTAAATTATTCGTTTCTCGTTGGGGTTCACTGGGCGCATTACGGGGTCTACCGACAAATCAGTGTCGGGTCGGCCGAGTCTGGGATCATCGTCTGAACTTCCGAGGCCAACGTCAGTAATAGAATTTCCTTTTTTCATGTCAGCGATTCCTGGAATGTGGACACTGTCTCGAATCTGCAGCCGCCTCCTATTAAATCTAGCTACTTTGTGATCTCTCGTGATTGTTGACATTCCAGCGATCATTGTCTCTTTTAAAACATCTTTTTCATAGTAACCTTTTTCGGGTCGTTGAATAGTAGCCGCCTGTTGCAATTTATCAGAATGCAAACGATTCCATTTCATACGAAGACGTGTTGTTTTGTCGTAATTCTCGATGAAGAACTTTATAACATCAGGATTTGTTAAATCTACAAGGGGCATTTTTAATTTTACACAGATTTCCGATGGATAAGTTATTACAAAATAAAAAACAGGAATAAAATCCTACAAAAACTTTCAGCGAAAAACACTGAAAAGTACATGTCAAAATTGTGTTTTGAAGTTTTTAAAACCTTTCCTTAGCCATGGACGAAATATTTCGCCAATATATTGTTCCATGGCATTAGAATCTTTATGTTTCGTCCGCACCTGCATGTATCGTCGAAGTAATGCGTGCCAAAGCTTCGTACGTTTTGACGCTAAAAAGTTATATATATATATCGATAAAGTCTGTGGTCATATTGGCAGCTTCTTTATTATGCACGAACTATCTTGCATTAATCCAAGATGGCCGCAATCATTTCCAGACTTCCAACTATGGACGACAACAGTGTGAGCTAACGATTACATAATGCATTTATCAAAATCTAAAAACTTCATAATTATATCGAAATTCCAGCACCATTTCATCGCGCCACGCCATTTTACTATAAATAATTAATATATCGTATAATAGATACTTAGCCACCCGCATGCGTCTGAACTAGTCTGACGCTAGATTCAACTGCCTAAATCAGTGGTTCTTAACCTGCGGCCCTTGGAAGCACCCGAATTATTAAATAAATAAGTGGTCCACGAAGCCGTGGTCCGAAGAAATATTACATTTAGAAGTTAAAGGGCACGAGTATATTGTATATTACCTCGATACAATCAGCGTATTTACCCTCAACTATTTGCAAATCTGGCGCCCCGGGCCACTTAAGATCAACCCCCCATCCCACCAGAGTAAAAGATCCCCCTAAAAAGTATAAGTCAGTAACGAATGCCTTTATATGGTTTCTGCCGCCAAAACCGGCCTCAAGATGGCCATAAGTGAGTACCTTTATACATAGCGTCCCACGGTCATGCCACACGGAGGGAAAGTATATTAAATATTGAAGATAGGATATTTCACTGAAAGAATACATCATTGTATTTTTAATAATAAGTAGAACTGCATTCAGCACCCGGGACCACACACGAGAATGTATTATATGATAACCGTCGAAAGGGTTAATCATAAGGATTATTTTTTTTCCTAAATAACATGACCTTTACGTGACGTAAAGAGCGTTACCAGCCATCGTTTCATTAAAACTTCAGGATTACGGCGTAAATCAATAGGCAAACTACAGCCCGAGGGCTATACAGGCCCTCGAATGATTAAAATCCGGGCCACAACCAAATTATTAGGGTTCCCTAGTCAATAAGGAACCCTTATACTTTCGCCATGGTCTTCCGTCTATCCGTCTGCCGCATCTTAGTTCAGAGACTTTCATTACTGGAAAACTATTTTGCAATGGATATTGCTTACTGATATGAGTAGAGCAGGAATGGATAAACTACGGCCCGCGGGCCTACTTCGGTCTTCGAATAGTTAAAATGCACTCACCAAAAAGTACCTACCATTTTGTCATATTCCGACAAGGCCCACCCCACTGCCGAACCTGGTACCTATTTTAAGGTAAAATTTACTTCGCAGCAAACTGAGGGGCGTATTTACCCTGCTGCTGAGCTGCGGCTGTGGGAGTTTGTTGCGGAGCCATATTTTTTGATTTAGTTTTTGCTTATCTGTAAATCGTAAGTGGCCTGAGAAAAAAACTTGGCCCGCCATTGATTCTGATAGTAAATTTTAGCACGATAAGGAAAAAGTTTGCCCATCCCTGGAATAGATGCTGATGGTTTATCAAATTCAATATCTAAACGATATTGAATCAGTCCAGGCCGGTACAAGCAATATTCGACATTCACAAATGCTTTAAAGCAAAAGCATGGCGCCATCGGTTCGCAAATCTACGACGGGTTTATGGGTGTAGCTAGAGGGGGTGGTCAGAAAGAAAATATAGACGAAAGATTTAAACTGGCCTAGTTTAGAATTAAAATTTTATACAACTAAAAAAAAACCTAAGAAAAATCTCTAACTACGCCCATGGGCAGGAGACTTGTTTTGAAAATTAAACCAAAAAGTAAAGTTAAAATACAAAGTCTTTTATTAGACAAATTATTATCACTACCTACCCTTAAAATATATTTACATCAGCAAACCTCGTCATTTCTGTATTTGCAACCAGATCAACCGATGAATTCATTAGTAAATTTCATCTCTCACAAAATTCACAAATAACAAAGTATACAATACACCCATTATTTCACAATCAAAACAGTAAATTAAGGAAATATGTGAAACATTTTAACTAAGCACAATTTTAGACATGGAAAAAATTTCAAGCAATAATGATTTTCTGAAATAAAGGTCGCAATACAGGAGTGTTTAAATAAAAACTATTCAGCTATGAGTGGTACCGTTCCAATCATAACCCAGTCAAAAACATTACACACACATTTTCAAAATTGACTAGTTTTCTTATAAACATTGTAAAGCTTTGTCTTTGCGAATTACCAAAAGTCGGTGTCAGCAAATAAGAGATAGAAAATGAAACGAAAACTAACATGTGACTGTGCAGATGACTTATTGAATAGTGGGTGCAACTTCGTAAGCTTGGTTTATTTGGTTTCCCCCACGATATTAAATACCCTAGATACAACAACACAAACAAAATCGTGGCCGAAACGTGGCCAAAAGGTACATTGGACGATCCACGAAGCTCCGTAAGATGATCGCATGGTCAAAAACAATATAAGGCATTATTTAAACAGTAAAAGTAACCTTTAATAGTTACTTTATAAGGTCTTAAAACGTGCGTCAGACTTATGACAGTTCGAAATGCAAGCTCGTAAAATTTTACGACTTATTGTTATATGCGCAAAAAGACCTTATTTTTTTACTAACAAGAAGAGTCAAAAAATATGTTTTTTTTGTATCTGCTTGGGTCCTGTTAAGTATTCAAATTTGGGTCTTGTAGCGATACGAAACGGCCTTATTGACACAACAAAACGTATACTCTGCTAAAAATTGGGTATTGTGGCGTTGGAATTTTGGTCTTATAGCATTCGAATCACGGTCAAATTCACTTGCTTCATGCCGCCGCGAAAGTTGGCGAGGCGAGCGGCGGCGCCACGTGGAATCGAACTCTGTAGTCTCTTGATCCACTAAATGCGTATACTTAGTCCATAAATTTGTGTTATTAGGGTGATACATTGAACTTTAAAGAATATCAATAATAAGTGCGAAATTCGCAAGGTCGCTTATTTGGAAGTATGCTTCCTGGCAGGATTCCATAAAATGGATATAAGAGCTAACAAACTTAGTATTATTTTATTGTTACAATTTTTGATGTGTAACATCTTTCCTCTCACTTTCCTGCAATTTGTGGGAGTGATTTCGTGAAATGGGACGCAAGTGTGTAACAGGAAGTCGCGAAAGCGCGCGCTATTTGATTTGATTGTAGAACATAATGTTCAAATGGCTTATTCCTTTTGTAGTAGGTTTAATTTCTTTTTATAATAATAAAGGTGGGATTTCAAATATAACACATCATACGCGACTACTGTAAGGCTCGCTCGTTTATATATATATATATATCTGACAGGTCGTAAGTATCACACGTCATTTGAAGGAAATAAAAGGGCTTAGTTGAATACTCTTCTTGAAGTTAACATTGGAATTTCGGTCTTATGGCATTCGAATCAAGGTCCAATTCATGTAGTATGCTTCCTCTTAGCTGTAGGTCTGTCGAACACTTGCTTCATGCCGCCGCGGAAGTTGGCGAGGCGAGCGGCGGCACCTTCGTTGCTCCACGCGGAATCGAACTCTGTTGTGTCTTGATCCACCAAATGCGTATACTTTGTTCTACCAGAGCGGCCAAATTTCTTCACTTGCATCACCTATGGAGTTAATTTACAAGGAAACTGTTAGTTTTGTATTGTTCAGGTCAGGCACGAACTAGGTGGACGATACAGTCGCCGCCTTGGCGCAAAAAAATATGAAGAAGAAAAACTTAAGATGTGACTGTGTAGATAGTCTCCATTACCATTCCATTCACGAAAAACATTGAGTTAAACAATGGACTTTGCATAAACATAACAGTACAGTAAAATAAGTCCGAGAAAAATTAAGCTGTAATGTGTTTATGGGACTGAGTGAAGCTCACATGAAATTTATGAAATGGCTCGGATGAAGTTTTTGAAAAAAGTTGTCAACTTTTGAAAGAGTGACAAACAGCATGTCTCTCACACTCTTACCTTTCTTTAAAATATATATTTTTTTTAATACATCAATGTGCTACATAGCCAAGCGTTTTTACAAAAGTAAATTAAAAAAAGTTTATATTTATTGGTGTCATGAAAAAAATACTTTAAGGCACGTAAACATCACACGCTTTGAATACTATAAAAACGATATTGCAACAGACATATTTAGATTGCATTGCTTACTTTAGGCAGCACAGTTTTATCAAAGTGATCATCCAATGTCGCCCCTGAGAAGTCTTGTTTGAACACTTCATCTTCTTTATCCAAATAGAAGGCACCTCTGAAATAAAAAGAATGTTAACATGACTTAATTTATAACGTGAATATCTGTGAATAATTTAGCTACCTGGCGCTGATTTATCAGGTTTTTTATTGCTATTGTACTTGATAAAGTGGCTGAAGACCATATTTGAAACGCACCAATAAGAGAAAAAAACAACTAATCTTAAAACCATCATGGCAAGTACCTGTGGTAGTATTTTTGCAGGAACTTGTATTTGCCTTTGACAGCTTTGTTAGTAACCTGTTTCGGGTTGAGCCGTTGCTCAACGCGCCTTTCTTCTTCAGTCATATTGCGCATACGTTCAATCGCAAGCAATTCCTTCTCCATACTGAAAACACAATGAAAAGCAATATATAATACCGACGCATTAAGGTTTGAATGAACGTTAGTGCACGCTCGCAATATATGAAAGAGTTGTCAATACTCGTCTCATGTCCCGTGGCATGAGCACCACATTATATATATATCATATCACGTTTTTATTGCGTTTAACGTAACGTAATTGACAAATAGTGGAATTTATTTATTCAATTTACACATCCCGGCTTACAAAAAATCCAAAATGCCGGCAATAAATAAATCTGTCTGAAAATAAGAGTGTTTTCGTAGCAGGCACATTAACCGCTGACGCCATACAGGACAGTTTAACGGCAGAAACAATAATAAATGAAAGGTAGCTTTTTAGGTAGTTTTTCAACTATGATAGTTAACTATGGAAAATGTCTATCTGTTATAGCAACACAGGAGTGCAGTTAGTATTCTACATTTTTATTCAATTTTCTAGAAAATAATACAAAAATATAGGATACAGTTTAGCCTTCCTAGAGATTTAGAATTCTAATCTGCACAAATATGTAAGAAAGATTATAATTTACTCACGCCTCCCTCTCCTCTTTATCGCGTTTTATTCTCCTCATTTCCCTCAATTTCCATGCTTCATATTCCAGTTCATCATTTTCATCATCTGTGCACACATCTTCAATATTACCTTCTTTTTGTTCTCCCTGCAATTCAGTAACAATGTTTAGTAGTAGGACATCACAAATGATATTTGAAGAAAATTTGAAGATAATCGTTCATTATATCTTAATACCTCTAGCATGGACTGTATTCTATTAGGTATTTAAACACATTTTTTACGATTTTAAATATTTTTATTTTCTATTTGATGTGTTTTACACCATTTTTCCTTCTTTACTATACAGAAATGGTAAAGTACCAAAGAGGGGCAGTATAAGTTAAATTAATGTGTATTAGTATAAAAATCTGAATGGAATGCACAATGGTTTTGTTGTGACTGAGATGTTAACTAAACATATTAGTTAGAGGTTTCTAGCCAACAGATTACGCCAGTCACCAAAATTGCTATGCTATAATCTAGTTAATGTTACAAAATCTATTAAATAATATGAAAATGTAACCTGCACACTCTTTTGTTCTGATCGAATAGTTTCTTCAACGAGTTTAAGAGCATCCCTCCTCCGCTCTTCCTTCTCTTTTCTAGCTTCTGATTCTTCCTTTTTCTGCTGTTTCATTTTGCGTTCCCGTTCAGTTACTGTCATCCTCTCTGAGGCTCTTACAAATACTGGCTTAACTCTTGGACCTGAATAACAATTATTACAGACATATATCATCAAGGAATATTTAACCAAATAATAATATTAGTACGATCTTTCATATGACAGAAAAACTACTTAAACATGATTGTTACTAAAAAACTAAAACTTTACACTCATACACACTCACACACACACGCACACACACACAGGCCTATAATTATTTTTGTGTATAGTTTTCACTATTACCTAAATTGTTTATTGTAATATAAATTGTATATTACCGGACATGAAGCACCCAAAACAAAAGTTGTAACTACATGATCGGCACAACTCCACCGAACTCCCGAGCATGAAGCACAAAAACAAACAATTGATGTCCATAAATATGGGCAAACAAAATACCAAAACAATATGGCAAAACCAAAAAAAAGCGTCAACAATGTTGAGCAAAAAGTCGAAATTGCAACTTCATGATCGGCACAACATCACCGAACATGATGTGCAAAAACAAACAATTGATGTCCACAAATATGGACAAACAAATTACCAAAACAATGGTAAACCAAAGAAATCGTCAAAAATATTGAACGAAAAAGTCAAAATCATGGATGTCAAATCCAAGGAAAAATGGGAGCTCCAAAATGTCAAATCCGGGTGTAACAATTATCACACACATATTTTGTAAAAACATCTACTACAGATAATATAAATTTATGACCAGAATAAGTTTTGGGTAAGATTCCAATTAAATCCATACTTAACATTACCATAGGTCTATCTACTTTTTTGGGATTAATCATAGTTCCAAGTGGTTTAGAAGTCGAATGCTTATAAGCCCTACAAATATCGCAATTATTAATATATTTATGAACATCATTAAACATACCTTTCCAAAAGTAATGTAGTTTTATTTTATGCAAAGTTTTATGAATTCCTAAATGACTCGAATTTAAATCATCATGATTATTTCTAATAGTATCTAAAATATGTTCTTTTGGAACAACAATTTTCCAATCTAAATTATTATTAACGCTATATTTTGATTTACAAAATCTATACAAAGTATCATTTTCTACTCTAAATTTTTTATATCTAGAAGGGAATTTTTGACAATTAACAATTTTTTTTCTATACCAAGGATCTACGATGTCATCGTTAGGTGAAACAATTTGATTTGAATTTACAGTCAACGCAGCTATATCATAACGAGAAAGAGTATCAGGAACTACATGCAAAGAACCTTTTTTATGAATTATATCAAATGTAAATTGTGAAATTCTAGCAGCCCATCTAGCCAAGCGACCAGAAGGATTATTTAAAGGACATTGTTCTGCGTCCATACATTGTTAGCCTAAGAACCAACAATCATGAAATATTATTTTCTAGGTTCAAAATCTTAAGTAAATGACTGTAAAAACAAAGATTATTGACCGACACTTCTGAGAACTTAAATTATTAGGAAAACTAAAATTTTTTGAGGTTATTTTAATATTCAATGAAACAGGTTAACCTATGAATTTAGTATAAACTCAGTATGAAGTGAATTAATATTACAACTAATTCATTTTATTCGGTGCGATTTTAAAGAATAACTATTAGGAAAAACTTGGTAAGGTAGGAATCGTGAATAAAATAAAAACTGTAGTTTTGCTTCTTATTTATTGACTATTTTCCACATAATTGTATCATATTGTTTATTGTATTTATTTGTATATCACATGTAGGTATATTGTGTAAATATGCAGCGTCAATGTGTATCAAGTGTTCTTGAATAATTTGGCAGTATGATCCTCTCAGGATTTTGTGGAACAGGTTCATTAGCACTTGGTAATAAGGGCTCTGCTCTTTGGTAACATCGATGGCATATTAGATATCCGAAATAATTAAATTAAAGGAAAAACCATCGCAAATAAACACACACAACAGGTAATCCGAAACGAGAATGCACTTTCCGGTTTATTAATACTCTTTGGAATGCACGAATGCCACAGATTACTACGAATGCAAACTGCATGCACCACAACCACAGAGTAACAAGTTTTATGCCGGCCCTACACTTGACAACAGTTTGTCCTTGTCATGCTTAATAAGGAATGAAAAGGTCAGACTGATGTCATGTTTTAAAATAACAAATACGAATAGCCAAGTGAAGTGCCGGCATTAGGAAGAAAGAGTGTTTTGTTTGCAGCGCTGCTATACATTATACACATAAAATGGTATTTATTGTCTCAGATTATTTTTTAACTTTTTAATTTAGCTTACTTAACTGGAAGTGTCCGTCACAATCTAAATACTGATAATTATCGCAAAAAATATACTAAGAATTATCATAAATGCCAAATTGGTGTTGGTTCTTAGGCCAATTTTAACATTGTCCTTTAAAAGCCATTTTAAACTAGCATGATCCGTTACTACGGTAAACTTCATTCCTTCAATATACGGCCTAAAATGTTCAATAGAATCTAAAATTGCCAAAAGTTCTCTCTCAGTCACACTATAATTACGTTCACACTTATTAAGAGATCTAGAATAAAAAGCAATAGGATGTTGATCACCGTTATCATCTTCTTGACTCAGAACACTACCAATACCAACAGAACTAGCATCACAATGCAAAAAGAAAGGTTTTTTGAAATTTGGACATTCAAGCACAGGAGCTGTAATTAAAGAATTCTAAAGATTTTGAAAAGATCTTTCGGCATCATCATTCCATTCAAGACTTGTTTTTATCGTTTTGCTTCCGCAAGTTAATTTAGTTAAGGGAGAAGCTATATCCGCAAATTTTGAAATGAATCTACGATAATACGAACAAAGACCTAAAAAACTACGAAGTTGTTTTACAGTCTTAGGACGAGGAAAATTTTCTATAGCATCTAATTTTGAAGGATCAGTGTGTAAACCTTTACTATCAACAACATAACCCAAATAATGTAATCTTTCTTTACAAAATTCACACTTTTTTAGATTTACTGTCAAACCAGCATCTTTTAAAACTTTATATACCTTTTTAAGAAGGTCTAAATGGGCCAAAAATTGGTCAGAAATGCAGATTAAGTCATCAAGGTAACAAAAGGTATTCTTATCAAATTCAGGACCAAACAATCTATCTACAAGTCTTTGCAGTTCAACAGGAGCATTAGAAAGACCAAAGGGCATTCGGACAAATTCAAAGAGTCCTTTACCAGGAATACAAAATGCAGTTTTCTCACGCAAAGCGGGATCTAATTTAATTTGCAGAAAAGCTTTAGATAAATCAATTGCACTAATAAACTTAGCTCCTCTAAGGTTATCTAAAATATAAGAAGTATAAGGAAGAGGATAAGAATCTTTAACAGTTACTGAATTTAATTTTCTTGAATCTAAACAAAGTCTAATACCTCCATCCTTTTTAGGAACAGTTAAAACAGGGGAGCTCCAAGGAGACTTCGAAGGTTGTATTATTCCCTCCTTTAGCATCAATTCAACTTCGTTATAAACCTCTCTCTGCTTAGCAGGACTCAAAGGGTAATAACGTTGTTTAATAGGATCGCCAATGGTAACTATTTTATGTTCAGTTAAATGAGTAAGGCCTAAACCATTCTTTTCATAAGAAACATCTTTAAATAATTCAACAACTTTATTTAATTGTTCACTCTCAGAAGGAGACAAGTTAGCAGCAGATGTAACAGAACAAACATTAACATCTCTGTCATTAACAAAAGTAATATGTTTAAATAAATGTTTAGCTTAATCAAATTTTAACCAGAAATCAAAACCTAGAATTATATTTGGTTCAAATGAAGGTATAACCATAAATGAAATAATTTAAGTATCTCCATCACAAGTCACAGGTAAGTCCATACTTCCAATAATATTTTGTGAAGATCCGTCAACAGTATGAGCGGTTCTATAAATTGTTTTAAGTTTATATCCTAATTCTAAAAATTGTAAGTGACTGTTAGCACCTAATACGCAACAGTTGGCACCACTATCCAAATTTCCATTAAAAGTACTATTTCCAACATTAAATTTAAGGTAAGGTCTGTTATCGCTATTTTTAACAAAAAGCACTGGAGCTACTTTAATGTTTCTAAAAAATACTTTTAAATAATATAGCCAATCATTAAATTCTTTTCTACAAGTTGATTTATCAGGAACATGACTATTTTCCATCGAGACTCTTCTCGCTTCATCATGAAGTGGAGCTCGATGAGGCCTAATCAGTTTTTTGGAACTGGTTCAGAAAGTTTAATTTTGGTTGCTAAAGGTTCGCTGGTATCTACTTTTTATTTTTGCAGTCACATGTGTGAATAGTCACTCCATGCCTACAACAATTGAAACAAATTGGACCAGGAATACTTAAACATTTTTTATAAGTGTGTCCAAAATTTTTACATTTTAAACAAAAAATTTTTTTATCATTTTTGGAATCTACAAAATGAACTTTAGGAGAAGATGCACGCGAAACAGATTGAACAGAAGAGCTATCCGAAACAAGTTCTTTAATTTCTTTATCTAATCTAAAAATTTGGTCAGTAGAACTAATGTTCCTGCCAACAAAATATACGGCGTGAGAACGCAACATATTACGCTTAATAATTTTAATTAAGGTTTCTTCCGAAAGTGGATCCGAAAGACGCAAAGACATATCCTGCAACTCAATGATAAAATCTGACAAAGTTTCAGTAGGTTTTTGTTTGCGAGAACGCAAAAGATATTCAAGCCGATCATCATAATCAGGTTTGTCAAAATGTTTAAGTAATGCAACCTTAAGGGAATACCAAGAATTAAGATTTGAACGAACAATACGAAACCATGTCCTAGCAATACCAGTAAGAAAATCTGAAAAGGAAGTAACAACAAAATATTCATCGATATCTCTGGAAACCATATACTCTTCAACACTAGTAATAAATTCTCTTACACAAGACTTACCGTCAAAAATTATTTTGCTTTTCGAAAGATCAGGATGTTTGTAATATGTAGGTTTTTTAAAGTTATCCATAAGTGAAGTATTATTTTGTAGTAAATTAGTGTTATTATGTGAAGCATGTGTGGTCGTTGG